AAGTCGACTCTGTCCGCAGACTATGGTATCTCCGGTCAAGGATCCAGGAATCTCTCCCAGTCGACTTCCACGGGTCGACTAGCAAAAGTGGATTTTCTCTTGAAAGACAGTCAAACACGTGAGGATCTACTAACAATCGAATATGACCCAGTCTACTCGAGTCGATTGGATCAAGTCGACTGAGAAAGGTTGGAAGCCCATAAATCCCGATAGCTCTAATACACTTCAGCATACCGAAGGGGCATCTAAGGATAAGGAAGGATCTAGAAGCTGACTAGAAAATGGATGGAATGCGAACCGACCAGGGTAGTTTGGACATTTCTAGTAAGTCGGCCGGGGCATTCTGGGGACTTCAGGTGAATGTTCCATTTCTATATAAAGGAGCTGAGGTAACTCCAAAACCCTAACTCCCATTCATTCTATACTTTCTCCATTACGGCTGCTGCTCCCTCAGAGCAACTCTCTTTATCTCCCTCAGAAAAACTTGAACGAAGATTTCAGGGCGGCATGGACTGACAAGCGACCTCCGCCGATTCCCAACCCCAGACCACCGCTCCAAGTATTCGGTTTCCCACCGTTTGGGGTACACGCGCCATCAGGAGGGCGTATGGGGGAAGAAACGCCTATCACCCCACCAGGAGTCAAGATCCCAGTGCTCACTCAAGGGGAGACCAGTCACGTGAGGAGCACGAGCGGAGAAGTCAACGGTCGTGAGTCAATCGAGACGCTCCTAAGTCTGGGAAAGCAGCCTGGACCGCTCGAGCCAGGACAGAGACCGTGCCCCAAGGCGAGGAGCAAATGTTGACCATAACGCGAAGCGAGATGCAGAGGATGATTTCCGAAGCTGTAGCCGCCCAAATCAAACAAACACCAGTCGAGCAACCCAGGGTGGAGAAACCCCGAATCGAGCAAGCTAGGATCGAACAACCTCAGAATGAGCAGCAACCCCCTGAACGCGAACAACAGACACAGTCACAGGAAAGGCAGAACAGGAGGGTGGATGAGGAGGAGTCCTCTGTTAGAACCATTAACCCACAAGCCAGAAACGACACGCTGGAGCAGCTGCTAGCGCAGGTCCGAGACTTGCAGGCTCGAGTGGAAGGAAGGAAGACGGGAAGCTCGAGGGGACACCCATTTTCACAACATATTCTAGATGCCGATTTGCCTCAAGGGTTCAGGGAGCTTAATATCTGGTATGACGGGTCGACTGATCCCTCTCGACATCTCAGAAGTTTCGAAAACATGGCAGTATTGCATCGATATAACGACCCCGTTCAGTGTCGAGCATTCCTGACGACCCTGCGAGGACCAGCACAGGATTGGTTTCATCAATTGCCCCTAGGGGCCGTCAGGGATTTCGATGGGTTTAGCTCGAGTTTCTTAAACCAATTCGCAAGTGTAAAAGCCCAAGAAAAGTCTTACCTTACGTTGATAGGTATGCAGCAGAAAGAAGGGGAATCATTGAGGGACTAAGTGGCGAGGTACACACGGGCGTGTGTCGACGTCCCCTCGGCCACTGAGGAGATCAAGTCGGGAGGACTCACTCGAGGGCTACTCCCGGGACTGTGCAGAAATTTCCTAGCAAAACGGCCCGGAAGGACGTTCGATGAAGTCTTGGGAAGGTGCGCCAAATACATGAATGTCGAGGAAGCCGAAGCTGATTTTCTGCAAGCAGCCAAACCAAAAGCTGAGCCTCAGGACGAGAAGAAGGATAAAAAGCTTGTCGCGACAACTGAAAGGAAAGGATCCCCGAGGACCGAAAGAGAAGGATGATCAAGGGGGTGGAGGACAACCCAATATACTCCCCTGTCGGCCTCGCATGCAAGGATATTGGAGGTGATAAAGAGAGAGATCCGTGATAACGTTGTCAGGTGGCCACGGACGAGAAAAGATGGGCCGACAAAACCTAAAAGTAACATGTATTGTCGATTTCACAAAGACTACGGCCATAACACCGATGAATGTCGGCACCTAAAAAATGAAATCGAGAGACTAATCAAAGCAGGCCATCTGAAGGAATTCGTTTATAAAGATCGAGAACGAACCAGTCGGCGAGGAAAGAGAAGCAAAAGCCCTCACAAGAGGGCAAGAACACCCGATAAAGAGGAGCTTCCCCAGAAAAGAGGAGTAATTCATATGATATTCGGGGGGCCAACCGATGGTGATTCAAATCGGGCTAGAAAAGCATATGCTCGAGGGCATCACGGAAAGACCGAAGTGCAACAGGTCGAGGAAGATGGTCCAGTGATGAATTTCGGACCAGCAGACATGGGAGCGGTCGAGAGACCTCATAATGATGCCTTGATGATCACAGCTCAGATATCGGGCTATGAAGTCCAGAGAATCTTTGTCGACACAGGGAGCTCGGTGAATGTGATTTTTTTCGATTGCCTTAAACGGATGGAACTCGACATTGAACTCTCACCTCTCCACACTTCACTTTTTGGATTTAATGGCTCGGAAGTCGCACCCCTGGGGGAAACCACTCCCGCGGTCGTCCTCGGGGAAGGCGACTTGAGGAAGGTGAAAATGGTGCGATTTGTCGTGGTCGACGTCGAGTCAGCTTATAATGTGATTCTGGGAAGGCCAGCACTCAACACATTCCAAGAAGTAGTGTCAACCTATCATATGAAGCTAAAATTCCCCGTCGGGGATAAGGTAGGGGAGGCCCGAGGGGACCAGAGGTTGTCAAGAACCTGTTATCAGATTGCAGTAAGGACAAACCAACGAACGGAGGTGAAAGAAGGAAAA